ATCAAGCCGTGTTCTGGCGGCGTGGATGCTGTGATTAGGGTTCGCCATGATGAGTGAGTGGGTAATAAATTGCGGTCGACAGCGCCTCGAGCGAGGGTGGTTTGAAATGGTTGACACGTGACGCGTCCGCCTGTGCGTGCGTGCGGCGTGCATATCCCATGATTCTCACGCTCATCACAAACTCGTGACGGTCGTCGCACATGAAGCTAAGGTGAATCGCGCGCGTCACGCTCATAATAACCTCGTGCCTTGTCATTCGTCCGCCGGGCGGGGTCGTCGTACATGAAGCTAAGGTGAATTGCGCTCCTCCTCCAACAATCCCAACATGATGGCTGCGCCAGGGTCTCTTCTCTTGACACGCTCCCAAGTCTTTGGTGGTGTCAAGAAGAAGGGGTTGATTGGCAAATTGATGGCGTGGATGCCAGGTCGAAGGCTGCCACAGTAAAAGTGCCGGTCAATCTTGACCAGGCAAATCACCTCATCCACCATGTCCACTTCAAGGAGCGCAGGACTAAAGTGGGCAGCAGCCTCCTTCTCCCCCACATCCACCACCACCACAATGGCATTGTATGCCAAGGCAGCTAGGGCCCCATGCAGCTGTGCCTGAAACCAGCTCACCTCCCTTTCCACCGCATCACCATCCCAGAGCAGGAGATCAATGGCAGAGTTGGTGTTGGTGGGCTGGGCAAGCAGCTCTGGCGCTAGCACCTTCCAAGCCTCCAATTGCGCCACCACCTGGTAAAGGTCTTGGCGTACCTGTTGCCAGCGGTTTTGCTTGCCAAGGACTTGCAAGGCAACTGCTCGGAAGCCGCAGTGTCCATCGCCAGTGATGTCGCGCAGCGTGGTCTCCAGGCCAAGAGCGGTTGCGCTGGCCAGAGCTTCCGCAGAGACGAGGTCCTTGAGCTCAACCGTCGTCGCCTCTTCCTCAAAGCGCAGCGCCCAATCCCTCTCTTGACACAGCAGGTCCCACTGGATGCGCTGCAGCATGCCCAGACAAGCATGCACCATGAATGCAGGCAATTCGAGGTGCTTTGCCAGCGGGGCCGTCTGCCTGGAGGGGGACGCTCCTCCGACGCTCGGGTAGAGGATGTCAAAGGTGGCGTCCTTGCCCCTCACTACAAACTTGTGCTCCCGTCTGCACAGAAAGAGCATCCCAAGGAATGGGAATGCCTCCATCTGTGCATTGCTGCCGTGAGCCAAGACTGTGTCCTGACCCTGCGGCAGGTCTGCCAGCCTAGGCACGCTTTTGTCCGTCTCCTTTGCACCCATCTTGTCGACAGCAGCATCCCAGCTACGCTCCGTTCCACCCCCCGGCAGCCTCCACAATTTCCCCGCGCTCTGAAGTCCAGTCAGGCCGTGCAAGCGATTGCGCTTTTGGACGGACCCATGGCCCCCTCAAAAGGCCGCCAGCATCTTTGCTGCCCACCATGCAACTGCAAGGGAAGAGCATGCAACGGTTGCACTCCTCTTGTGATGTTGCTCTGCCCAGTCGTCGGCCGCCTGGCAAGTGCTCAACGGGCGCGGCAATGCGCGCAATGGTGTCGAGGATAGCGGTTGTGGCAGGCGGGATGTGGAGGGGGTGCTAGGCGCAACATCATTGCCTGGCCTGTCTGACATGAGGGTGCTTGTGGTTGAGGTTGCGGTTGCCGTTGCGGTCGCGGTTGCGGTTGCAGTTGGGCTCGCAGTTGGGCTCGCAGTTGGGCTCGCAGTTGTCGTCGCGGTCGCGGTCGCAGTTGGGCTCGCAGTTGTCGTCGCGGTCCCCGTCATTGCAGCGTTGCTGCCCATGGAGGCTGCTTGCATCAGGCTGCCGAGATTGGTAGTGCTCGGTGTCGCATCTCGCGTCTGCAACATTCTCTCTGCTCCCTCTGAAAATGAAGACCTTGACGACCTGCTGCTGGATGCGTCGTCTTCGTAGCGCTTCTTGCTGCGCTTGAGCATAAATGGCGGCCGAGTCTCTTCTTCTTCTTCTTCTTCTTCTTGCTCCTCCTCTTGCATTCTGCTCAAAAATTCCTCCTAAAGAGATGAACACGGGCGTGTCAATACACGGGGCGCACCCTCGGCTCTACAGCGCCAGCACACTCACGTACGCTCGGTGCACCTCCCTCTGCGCTTGCTCGCGAGTGTACGTGGACGTTGGTCTGGCACCCAACACCAGCACCTTTTCTCTTCCAACCCTGAGCTCCTTGGTTCCCAGCGTCAGCACGATAAATTCCTTCTCCCACACCGTCTTTGTCGACGCGATGGCTCTGAGGCCGTTCTGGAGGTGCGAATGCGATTGTGAGTGCGGTTGTGAGCGCGGTTGTGAGCCTCGCGCACGCACCCTTGTAACCACGACATCTTGCCCTGGCTCCAACGCCGATCCCTCCTTTAGCTGGCAAGTTGTCGTCTGGTAACGCATAGTGGATGCGGGGTGGTCCTGAGTCGCAAACTTGGGGGTCAGGCGGGGGGGGGGGTACAACAAGCGTCGCGAATGGTGGTGCTGCGCGAGAGCGCCTTGCACGATGCGCGCAGCACCTTGGACGATGGATCGCACCGTCCAAGGCAGCGCTCTCGATCGCGCACGCGCTCGCAAGTGATTTTGCTTCTGCTCACGCTCGCGCTCTATACCCACAGCGCCAGCCTGCCCGCCCGCCCGCCGTCACTCTTCCATCGACTGCGAGTGCGGGGGCATGGAGGGGGGCGTACGTGCAGGCAGCCGAGGAAAGAAAAGGCGCGCGCGCTTTGCGCATGCACCCTCAGCCATGTCAGCCGACACCTGAAACATGATTGCTTGTATGGCGGCGAGGTGAAAATTTTTTTCGCTCTCGGGGCAGCGCTTGTGATGGGAGTGGGTGTGGTTGCGAGGCGTATGCGAGTGACTTGAAGTCGTTGACGCCGTAGCGCGAGAAGTCGTTGCTTGCAGTCGTCCCCTCCGAGTCGTTGAAGCCGTGCCTCGGAGTCCTCACGGTCATCGCGAGAAGTCATCGCGAGAAGTCATCGCGCGAGAAGTCATCGCGCAAGAAGTCATCGCGCGAGAAGTCATCGCGCGAGAAGTCATCGCGAGAAGCCATCGCTCGCAGTCATCGCTTGGAGTCATTGCTCGTCGCTTGCCCCCAACGCTCGCAGTTATCGCTCGTCGCTCGCCCCCGACGCTCGCAGTCATCGCGAGAAGTCATCGCTCGCAGTCATCGCTCTTCGCTCGCCCCCGACGCTCGCAGTCATCGCTCGCAGTCATTGCTCGTCGCTCGCCCCCGACGCTCGCCCGCCGCTTGTCCGCTCCCGGAGTTGTCCCTTGCTCCGCTCCGCACGCCCCGCTCCGCACGCCCCGACGCCATGTCGAGCGTACTCCCTGCTAGGTACCCCCTGCCCTCAATCCAAGACCTCGCCATTCGTGCCTTTGGAAATTCCGGGGATGCTTTCAACACGCGCCAGCACGACCCTGCCCTTGCGCGTCTTGATGACCTGATGGAGTGCCTGGACATTGCCGACTTTGCCAAATGGGCAGGCAATGTTAGAACAGCATTGACAGAGCCAGTGTCCCCCTCCTCCTCTTCACCACCCCTTGCTCTTCTAAGTACCCTCTTCCCCCACACATCCAAGGACATGCGAACCACCTCCTTTTGCCTGTATGCGCGGTACCTTGGAGCCTTTTCCTTAAAACAACTCCTCGACTTTGCTTGCCAATTCCAGTCTTTATACCCCCGCTCCACCGCTCACGGCCGCTTCTTGGTGCTGGAGGATGACAATGCTCAGCATGGGGGTGCAAGCTTGCGTCATCTCTTTTACATTGGCCTCACCACCACCGGCACAGCAGAGACTAGGGCGCATGATGATCTGCAGACGGTGAGCACGCACGCACGCACGCGCACAACTCCAGCGCTCACACATTCTGCCTCCCTCCCACAGGCTCAGGACAAGAGGCAAGCACCAAGCTTTCTTGGCTGGCTCTTGCAGACTGGCAAGGCCAGCATTCGAGACCTCCTCGTCTTGATTGCTGTCAAGGACATCTCCCCGCTCTGGAGTTCCGAAGAGCTGCACATTCTTGAAGGCCTTGTCCTCAAGATCTGCAACCCTTACTGGCTCGCCAACACTGCTGGCGGCAATCGAGCACCTCGACGTCCCTTTGTGATTGCAAGCAATCATGCTGCGCGCGATGGGCCAGAGAGTGCCGACTTGATTCACCTTCCTCTTGGTGCGTGGCCGGTGCCATTGGACATCCGCAAGGTGGAGGCAATCATGCCTTCTAGAGGACGTGCACGTCTTCTTGTGTTGACGTTGACGGCAACAGGCAATGCCAAGGAGACTGCCATCAAGACGCTTCTTCAAGCCTGGCTCAAGAAGCTCGGCACGTCGAGTTCTCGCTTTGAGCTCATGGTCAAGTCCCCTCGACTTGTCACCGTGGCCGATTTCCAGCGCTGGGTGATGGTGAGTGGCGCGGCGCAAAACACGCGAGGCGCGAGGCGCGCGTCAGCAGTTGCGAGCCCCTGCTCACCCCCGCGACTCCTGCCCCCCCACCTACCAGGACGACGAGATGGATCACATTGCGCTATTTGTCCCTGGCGAGGATGACTACGCAGAAGTGTTGCGCCTTGTCCGCAAGGCTGCAGGGTTAGGGTTAGGGTTAGGGTTAGGGTTAGGGTTACATACGGGTTCCCGGGAGGGGCAGAAAATAAGATTGGCCCAATGGATGCAGAAGGATGCCCTGATACTCCTGTCAAAGTTTGAGGCTCACCCCTGGGGGTATTGACAGAGATACAGGCAAAAGAGTGATTACCCCTGTACAAATGCAGGGTTTACCCCTGAAATTTGCAGGGTCTTGGCGTTTGCCCCTGGATCTATGCAGGGTTTACCCCTCCTCCTCATGCAGGGTTTTACCCCTACCCCTGCAAAAAAGCGCCCCTTCCCCTGCAAAATCCCCCCCCTGGAGAAACAAGGGTTGCCCCTTATGGGGTCTAGAGGTACCCCTTGTTTTGAGGAAGGGGGTTAAAATTTACCCCTTGCAGCAGTAGGGTCTGGGCCCTGGGAAGTACAGGGGCACGTGCAAGTCACCCCTGACCCTAGAGGTGGTGAGCGTGCGTCTTGGCCTACCCCTGACCCTAGGGGAGGTGAACATGCGTCTTGGCATACCCCTGACCCTGGACAAGCACATGTCATGCGACCTTCCCCTGACCCTGGACAAGCGCATGTCATGTGGCCTTCCCCTGACCCTGGACTACTGCATGTCATGTGACCTTCCCCTGACCCTGGTCAAGCCATGTCATGTGACTCATCCCTGCCCCTTCACACAGGCTTAGGACCTGCCCCTGACTCACACCAGCACACAGTATAGGGGCAATGGGATGGAACATTTACAGTGTAGTGGCTGGAGGGAAAAGAGGGTGGGGGATACTGCCACAACTATTTACGTGTCAGAGTCTATATACAGCAGTGTTTGCGCACATCAAGCTGCAGGGAAGGCTATCTCAAAGTGCTTGGTGTCTTGACTGTAGACAACACCAGCAAAAGGGCCAGGTGAGTCTCCTGGGAATGCAACAGCCTTCCACTTGTGATCATGGAGAGTGATGATGAGGATGGGCTTCTTGTACTGGGCAGCCACAGATGCAACCATTATCTTGTCAGCATGAGCATACCCCTTGTGCATGAGGCTCAGATACTCTACTCTTGCAGCATGGCTGCTACCTTCCCCAGCATTGGTCATGAGCTCAGGATGATCCTTGAGGTAGGAAGCTGCTGCTTGTCTGACCTCCCTATACTTGTTCTGATCCTGAAAGATGTGTTGGGCCATAGCAGCAAAGAAGGAGCTGCACCCCTGCTTGATGCCCTTGGTGAACATGACACCTGGTACCTTATCAGTTTTTTTTTTTTTTT